AATCTTAATGACAGTATTCAGTAAGATGAATGAATGCATTATTACCAATTACTTTTACAGACAACCTTTGATTTAGCTTTTTGAATACGAAAAATACATATTATTTATAATTAAAAACTAATGTACCCAACTGTGCCACTTTCACACATTTATTTCTTAAAAAAGATACCCCAGGAAGCTTAAAGTATATATACATGTTTTAAGTTTTTTAAAAAATGTTACTGACATAAATTTGAGAAAATTAAGAACTGGAAAGAATTTTGATTAGCTTTCTCTGGACAAAAATATGACTCCCTAGTTTTCATAAGAGATACCAGCTTTCATTTCTTTCCCTAGAAGATACAGAAATAACATATTTGATATTTACTGTATAGGAGTTACATTACTCTGCTAATTCTTTCTTCCTTTTTTTTTTTTTTTAAATGATACTGGTGATTGAACTCAAGATTCGCGCTGAGCTACATCCCTAGCACTTTAATTTTTTTTTTTTTTTTAAGTTTTGAGACAGGGTCTTGCTAAGTTGCCTAGCTGGGCTCAAACTTGCTACCTCAGCCTCCCAGAGTGCTAAGAGTACACAGGTGAGCACCACCATGCCTGGCTCACATCTTTTATTTTATTAATCATCATACCTGTATGTGACACTTTCTAATAGCATGTATAAAAGCTTTATTATATACCCTCGGTAGAAAGCTTAACTTTAAACTTAATTTAGGCTAACAGTCAACCACAAGTGATTCTAATACACTGACTGCCAGAATGTACTATAATGTTTCTAGTAGCTATGTTAAGTCTATATGTAGATTAAAAAAAATTTTTTTTTATGGCAAAGCAAAATGTCAGTATTTTGGACTATTATCATCCCAGCCTTTTGCAGTACTATTACCCTTAAATTGTAGTTTATGTTTATATTTTTCGTTTTTATACAGAGGCTCAATTAGAAAATTGTCTTTTGCCACATCATATAGTTAATAATACTGTTCAATATGTCACAGAATGTCTTATGCAATAAATTGAAATAAAATTTTGTTGCGTTTACAAGGAAAATTGTTCATGGATGCAATTATGAGTGCTTCCTGTTAGAAAATGGAAACTGTAACTATCTTTCTCTTTAGCTTAGCAAAAAACTTAAAATTTATAACTGAAGTTGGTAATACAGTCATCTTTAGTTTCTTTCAGTAATTCTGAGATAAACTCAGTTGAAATATTATGTGTGATGTTTAGATGTGTTAATTGATGTCTTAAGCCCTGGTAGGAAATAGGAGGAATATAAATCTGAAAAATAATACAGCAACCCATTTGGTTGCCCATTGGTTTTTTTTTTTTTGGTACCGGGGATTGAACTTGGGACCTTCTGCTTGTGAGGCCAGCGGCCAGCGGCCAGCGGCCAGCGGCCAGCGGCGGAACCACTGAGCTAAATCTCCGGCCCTGCCCATTGATTTTTTGAAAATGACACACTACTGAAATTGGATGAAAGACTGTTGGGCAATCTGCAGTTCCCACTAAACATAGTACTGAATTTGACATATGTTTGTTTTCTTTTCAGAATTGCTGTTGCTTTTTAATGTTGCCTTCTAGGTCATCTTAAGCTTGATGCTTTTGGTCACAAAAGAGAACTTTCATTCTTTTGTATGATACTCAGTAGTTTTCTAATCAGTTAGTCAATGTCATCTTGTCCTTTAAAAAACTAGTATTTGGTGAGTCTTGCTGCTATTGGCTTATTTCAGCAAACCATATATCAACTCTTATTCACCTTGCCTGTTGTCCATTCTTCTCCCATGTCCACTCATGTAGTTTTGAAAAGGTTCACTCAGCAAACTGATAATTTAGCTATATAGTCCATGATTTCATTCTTGTTGGTCTTGCTTTGATTCTTGATATAAGTTGGACAATATGGAATATAAATAAAACACTATTGTAGGCCAGATGTGAGAGCTAGAGTAGATGTGGCCTCAGACCTGTAACAAGTTATATGGCAGAATTTGATACTGTATTGGTAATATTTTCCCATCTTAGTCTAGTTTTCCATTTTTCAGTTTGTGCATTATGGAATGTGAGTAGATTGTGAGTAGATTTATTGATTGCTTTTTACTGTGCATATTCAAATGGTAAAGTATCTAGTAATAGGTGCTCTGTGAACATCAGAATATTGTTGACAGAATGCTCACTGCTAGTCTTATACTGCCATGCAGAGAATTAAAAAATGTTTTCTTCTGTTAAATTTGGCCTGCAGAATTACAATTTAAGGTTCCAGCTGAAGATAATTTTTCCTTTTTCTTGGAGTACTGGGAATTTAACTTAGGGAGCACTGAGCTACATCCTCAGCCCTTTTCATTTTGAGAAAAGTTCTGGCTAAATTGCTTAGGCTGGCCTTGAACTTGTACCCTTCACGCCTCAGCCTCCTGAGTAGCTGGGATTATAGATGTGTGCCACCATACCTAGCTAAAGTTAATTTTATATGAAGCCTCTTGATATTCTGAGATTTTTTTGGTTGCCCCATCTTTTCTGTGCCCAGTCCTGTTGTATGCTGAGGTTATTCTTTCCTCTTCATTTCCTATCATGATTATTTTGGTTTTTCTCTGACTTACCTTGTCAAATGTTTCTATTTGATGCATTTTTCTTTTATCCATTATATATCCTCATGTTGTAGTTATTCTGGGCACCACCTGTTTGTCCTAGAATATTTCCGTTTTGTCAGTTGGTATCTGGTTGATAAATTTATTATCATTTATGAGTAGCTCATAGTTACATTTAAACTTACATTAAAAAGGAGGAAAGTGTACATGCCCAAAACAGCCCCCAACTAATTATGTTTTAACATTATGTGTCTTCTTTAAAATTATCTGAAAATAGCAAATCCTCAATTTCTGTTTCTATGAATTTTGATTATACTTACAACCTAAAGAGGTAAGAATTTTCAAGATTTCTAAAACACATTTTGTTGCAAGGTCTCATCTTTAGTTTCAGCTTCAAGGTCACTTAAAGGTGGTATGTTGGTAGGAAACAGGATTTTGGATTACAGGTGATGGATTTGTATACAGGCAAACATTCTTACCTTTAACATGGTGTTTCCTGTCATGTCTTCTGAGGTAGCTGGCCAGGACAAGCGTTAGAAACTGCAGGACCAAGTGAAGCTACCAGGTTAAACCTACAACCTTGGCCTTGTTATCAGCACCTTAACAGTAACTATGTCAGTAATCTAAAAATTACTTGTACTGTATTGGATTTCAGTAGTCCATGATCCATAAAAAACTTAAAAATTCTCTTGGATACAATCCAGTTTTATTCTGAAATAATCAATAATTATTTAGATTTTTCAGAAATGATTTTGAAAGATTAATAACTACTCAAAAGGGTGCAAGTTAATACTGATGCTGAGGTTGGGTTCTGTATAGTTTTTTCCATTGGGTCCTCTTGGTATCATTAATAGTGTTCAGTTAGTGTAGATCAGTAGTTCCTGAAGAAGTATGGTCCTTGGACAAGTAGTATCCACACCCCGTGGGAATTTGTTAAAAATGCAAATTCTTGGAGCATACCTCAGATCTGAATCAAAAATTTTGGGGTGAGGACCAACTGTGTTTTAGCAAGCTTTCTAGGTGATCCTGATAACATGTTAAAGTTTGAGAACCACTGCCTTGGGTCTTTTGCTAATTGGTGCCTCATAGCTCTATCAACATTAGTTGAAACAGACTAAGGTAAAGTTTATGTTAAAGCCATTATAAACCTCTTATTTGATAGTATTTTTGTAAACATGTTGACTGAAGTTGTAGAAGGTAAAAATCATCTCTTGTGGATTTATTATATCTTTAACTTTTTTTTTTTTAACTAGGGGTTGAACCTAGGGGCTCCACATAGAGCTACATCCCCAGCCCAGGGTAGGTTTGGACTTGTAATTCTATTGCCTCAGCCTCCCAGAGTGCTGGGATTATAGCAAACAAGTGCTACCATTTGTGGTTTAAAGGAAATTCCCTGAGGTCTTTCTTTTCAGTCATGAGTACATAATAAAAAGTAGAAGTTTTAGGCCTTTTCTTAAAAATAGATTCTTAATGAAATACATTAGTGGTAACAAGCATTTTAAAAATGCTATTAAAAAGAAATTCTAGGATGCCATTACTGTTTCAGTAAAACCTGGATTGTGCCCAAGGAAGGAAATAACCTGGATACTGATGTCCAGAAAGCATTGAGTTTATTTTGGAAAACTCCCAAGTTAATGCTATTGTATTTAGAATCACCAGAGCCAAAGACTGCATATGATTCAGCATTTGAGTAGTGGAAAGGCTCCAGATTTTAGTATGGAATATTTTTTCCTTTTAAGGAAAATGGTTTTGCATGTGCAACGCACTTGCTATCTATGTGTCTTTAAGATTTTGTTGAGTAAGTGAATAGTATTAAAAACTTTTTTTTTTTTTTTTTGGTACTGTGGTACTGGTGGTGGAACTCCTGACCTTGCACTTGTAAGTCAGGTGGAGGTACCACTGAGCTAAATCCCCGGCCCCCAGTATTAAAAACTCTTTAATGAGTCAGGGATAAGGGATGATATTATAAGCCTGCTTTCCACAGAAAGTT